AAACAAAATCAGAGCTCTAGCCCAAATAAATATCCCCTGATGCTTGCACACAGGACCCCCCAGGGTGGGGAGGACGGCTGTGTCCCAGGAACAAGGGGCACCGAGGAGCCAGGAGGGACTCACAGCGATATTCCCAAGAAGGGGGAGGTGGACAAGGCCAGAGCAAAATAGGGAAGTTCCTGGAGGTTGTAATAGAGAGAGAACCTACACTGCAGGGCCATGAGAAGCCTTGTGTTTCCTTCCTCATTTGCCTGTATTTCTCCTCGGGGCTCATTGCCACCGTGACCTCGACTGAGCCAAGCAGAAATGTCACACAAGTGCCTCTGCTGAGATGAGCTCCCCAGCACAGCAGGAACCCACGTCGCCTGCAGCATCTCTGGGCTCTGGGGGCCCCGTCCACGGTGAGGACCCCAGGGATGTGCTGAGGATGGAGACCCCGTGGGGGAGGCTCTGGAGGGAAGGACATGCCCTGCTCTCCTCACCTGGATGGGGCATCTCAGGAAGCCTCGGGGTCCACTTGCTGCACCATCATGGGCACCAGAGCCAGGCTAGGTCCTGGGGAGGGGCTGTTCCCCTTCCTGTGGGGCTGCTGACGTGACAACCCAGTGACGGACAGGACCAGCCTCCGCATGACCACACCCTGTGTGTCTGCCCGTCCTGTGGGCACCGAGGTCCCTCCCTATGCACTGCTAGAGCCAGAGACGGGAGACGCCATGACCCCCGCCCTCACGGCCCTGCTCTGTCTCGGTGAGATCTGAGGAGGGGAGGGGACGCCCTATTCTGGGAGGGACCCGCCCCACAGCCAGGCCCTGGGCTGTCGGAGACCCCAGACTCAGGAGGCTCACGGGAGGAGGGGTTCTGCTCAGGATTCGGGGCAAACCTCTCACAGGAACTCTCTTCCAGGGCTGAGTGTGGGCCCCAGGACCCGAGTGCAGGCAGGTGAGTCTGTCCCCAGGGGTCTCAGTCCCACCTCCTCACTGGGGGTCACCCACCAGGCAGAGGGGATGGAGAACAGCAGTTCTGGGCTGACGGAGGGGGACGTCTGGGGGTTTGGGGCACACCTGGGACCTGGGGGTTGGGAAGGTCTTGTTCCTAGGCTCTGTTTCCTTCCAGGGACCCTCCCCAAACCCACCATCGGGGCTGAGCCAGGCTCTGTGATCCCCCGGGGGACATCTGTGACCATCTGGTGTCAGGGGAATCTGGAGGTCCAGGAGTACCGCCTATATAAAGAGGGAAACTCAGTGTACTGGGATGGACAGAAGACACTGGAGCCCGGGGACAAGGCCAAGTTCTCCATGAGACACATGACAGATGATTTACCAGGACGATATCTCTGTTCCTATCGCAGTCCCACTGGCTGGTCAGAGCTCAGTGACCCCCTGGAGCTGGTGGTGACAGGTGCGAGCCCACTCAGGGTCCCAGCCCCAGGCTCTGCCCTCAGGAAGGGGGTCTGCTCTCAGGTGTCTCCCTGTCACAGCCCAGCCCTGGGGATGATGTGGGGGATCTGAGCCCCATTTAACACCGTCCCCTTCTGCTCCCCTAGGATTGCAGGACAAACCCAGACTCATAGCCACGCCCAGCCCTGTTGTGACCTCAGGAGGGAACGTGACCCTCCAGTGTGGC